ACTGAGCTACAACCCCGGCCCCCAAACCAAAACTAGTTTTTAAAGGACTGGGGATATACCTGAGTGTTGGAGCCATTGACTAGCATGCATAAGGACCTGGGTTCAATTCCCATGCCAATGGATAAATAACCCCCAAAACAAAGCCCAAACAAGAACAACACAGTAAAATGAGGGCTGGTATCATAAAAGACCTCCCAACTGCCAAGGAGCTGGGTGACACTGGAACAAAAAGCACAGAATTCTTAGCTGGGTACAGTGGCGATCCCTGTGATTCTAGCACTCAGGAGGCTGAGGCAGGAGGATCACCCCAAGTTTGAGGCCAGCCTGGGCTACACAGCAAAAACCTGTCTCAAAGAAAACCCCCAAATAATAATAATAACAATAGCTACTACACAATGAGATGGCAGCAGACCCTTCCCTAAGCCTGATGCCTTCCTATCAGGTTGTGTCTTCACATTCACAATGACCGTGTAATACAGTTCTTCAGAGAAGGAAGCTGAGGCTTGGGGACATTAAGTCACCCAGTTAGTGAGCAGTAGGGCAAACTGTGGCAGCCCAGCCTCAGTGCACTCCTCTACACCATGCTGCCGGCTGGGCCCTGTGCCCACCTTGGGGGAGGTGATCGATGTAAACAGTGATGGGTGCCAGCGAGGTCTTGGAGAGCTGGGCCGGGTGGTTTATGGTGTCTGCGTCCAGGGCAACCAGCTGCAGGGTCCGGGCCAGCTCGAAGATCCGCTGGATCTCACTCTGCACCTTGGCCAGGCTGGAGCGCATGTTGGAGTGCTCGATGATGACGTGCTTGCTGGGGTTGTTGAGGACAGAGCACTTGGCCAGGGAGATGTCGGCCATCGCCCGGGTGATGGAGATCCTGCCATCGCGATGCTTCAGGAAGTCGAACAGCGCTTTCTGCATCATGTCGGTGACCTCATAGCCCTTGAGCGACGGTCCCACGAGGATGATGGGCCTCATGGAAAGCACCACGTCATAGGGGGGCACATGCTCTGTTGACTTCTGCTTCTGTTTGGCACTGGCGGGGGGGGGGGCGGGTGCCAGTCACCACGTCTCCCAGGCTGGAACCGGAGTTGTCACCTGATTTGCTGGAGCTGAGGCGGTTCTGGCGAAGTTTTTGTCCCTGCAGCAGCCGCAGGCTGTCCAGCTTGACGGGGCTGGGAATGAAGCCCACTTCACAGCCCTCCTTCACTAGCCGCCCAATCCACCAGTCATTATTGTATTTCTGCTTGATGTGCATGAAGTCCTTGGGCTCGAAGGTGATGGCCACGCCCTGCACAGGCACCTCGTCCCCGGGAGACCGGTTGTAGCCTACATCTGTCAGAACCGAAAGTGCCACTGGCTTGGTTTTGGCTTTCTCCAGCTGGGCCAAGGCCTGGCGCTCTGCCTCCTTCCTTAAGGCTTCTCGGTCTTGCTCCAGAGACACGTCGGAGTCCGAAGGGCGGCTGGTATAGAACTCTGCCTAGCCCTGGCGGACAAAGCTGTTGGATGTGGTATCCGAGGATGTGCTCCCGTCCGAGCGTTTGAACCTCCCTTTCCTCTTGCTGTATTTGCCCCGCGGGCTGGGGTCGAAGACCTCCATGGGGATCTCCTGCGAGGGTGGGTAGGGGCCCCGGGACATGCTGCTCTTCTGGACCATGGAGAGGAATCCCTCCTCCGGCCGCCGGCCCGGCTCCGCCGTGCGCCCTCCGAGCACCGGAGAGGCTGTCGGAGCTGACCGGGAGCGCCTGAAGCCGCCGCCCGCCAGGCCCGGCCGCCCTCCCCCCTCATTGCTTTTTCCTAGGATATTGTTTAAAATTTTCTGGAGTGCTGGTTTGGTATTCATGAAGTTCTTCATGTGTCCTTTGTCATGAAAGTATCTTATTTCTCCACCAATTTTTTTTTTTTTTTTGGTACTGGGAATTGAACTCAGGACCTTAGGCTTGGGAGGCAGGCACTGGAACTACTGAGCTAAATCCTTGGCCCCTCTCCATCGATTTTGAAAGATAGTTTTGCAGGGTACATCAATCTTGGTTCGAGCTTGTTTTCTTCTAGGGCTTGAAATACTTCACTCCAGGCTCTTCTTACCTTGAGGGTTTGTGTTGAGAAGTCTGCTGTGATTCTGATGGGCTTTCCTTTGTATGTGATTTGTTTCTTTTCTCTAACTGCTTGTAGTATTTTGTTCTTTTGTTGGGTTTCTGGTCTCTTGACTATTATATGCCTAGGTGTATATATATATTTTTATCATGACTAGTTGGAGTTCTATATGTCTCACTTATCTGTGTGTCAAAATCTTTCCCCCTGCTTGGGAAGTTTTCTACCATTACTTCTGTGAACAATTTTTTCATGTGGTTTGCACTATCTCTCATTTGTTCATTGTCTCTGATCAGTCTTATGTTAATTTTCTTTGCATCATCTAGCAGCTGCTAGATTGGTTTCTCATGGTCCCTTACTATTTTTAAGAAATCTTTGTTTTCCTGGTCACAGTCCTATCTTTTATATCTGAAATTCTGTCCTCACTTTGGCTCATTCTGCTGCATAAACTTTCAATGGCATTTTTAATTTCCTGGATATCTGTTTGCATCGGTTTATGGATTCCATTTGTTTCCTATGCTGGGATTCTATCATGTTCCTCAACTCCTCTATTTTTTAATCTGGGTCTTTTCTAGAATTACTAATCATGTCTTTCACTATGGACACAATATCTGTTGTTATCTGAGACATTTCTGATTTTATTTTTTCCATATCCTCAAAATTAAGACATCTTTTTTATATAATGTAACCACATAATTCCAGGTATTCTAAAGGTGTATTACATTTTGAACATACTCATTTACTTCTGCCCATTCCTAAATTCCATTTTTGAGTAAAAAGGATTTTAAAAAAGATTTAAATACTCATATGGACAAAGAATGGGAGAAAAGACTATAGCAACAAATCTTTGGAAACTAGAAGGCAAATGAGGAGGTGGTAGTGCAGGCCTGAGTTGTAAACCTACCCTGGGGAAAGTGGAGAAATGACCCAGTTAACTCAGTTCAAATCTCTCACACCTTAGACCACTGGAAATAGGCATGAAGGTGGGGCTAAAAAGAAAAAAAGGAGGATTAATTCCAAATCAATTTATTAAGCAGTTATCTGCTACACCACACTGGGGAGCAGATGGAGCAACCAAGACAGAAGTTAGAGTTTCTTTTTTTGGAGTGAGACCCAGCTGAGAAAGATACAGTGCTGAAAATACAGACCCAGGGAAAGTAAATCACTGATGTGAGACCTTATGTTAGTCAGCTTTCTCTCACTGTAATGATAATCAATTTTTTTTACTTAATTGCCCATGTATTTTATTTTACTTTATTTATTTTTTTGGTACCAGGATTGAGCTCAGGACCTTGTGCTTGTGAGGCAGTTGTGGCGCCACTGAACTAAATCCCTGGCCCACTCATTTATTTTTTTTAGTTGAAGAATTTTAAAAATTATTAGTACATATTTGCCATATGTAATGTTCACATTCATCATATGAAATTTGTACCTTACATAATATGTCTTAATTCTTTTTTTCCATTCCCCTCTTCTCTCCATCCCCATTTACAAAAGCTTTTTTTTCATATTTTCCTTCCATTCTCTTTTTTATCCCTTTTCCTTTCCTTCCCTTCCCTCACCCTCCCTTGTTCCCCTTCCCATTTGAACATGTTCTTCCTACTTCCCAATATCTATCCTCCATTTTGCTCCTTATTTACACTTTGGGTTTCTTACACCAAAGAAACAATGCAATATTTAAACTGGTGTGTCTGATTTGCTTCACTCAAAACTATGGTCTCAAAAAATGACCCTCAAGTTTCCAGGATAATCAAATCATAAAGAGAAAAGGTTTATTTTGGCTCATAGTTTGGGGAGTTTCAGTACATGATTGATTGGTTCCACTATTTTGCATCTGTGGCAAGGCAGAAACAGATCATGGTAGGAGAATATAGCAAAGCAAAACCAGTCACCTCATTTTGAGGGACAAAAAGACAGGAAGAAAAAGCCTGGAGCTCCACAGTCCCTTCAGAATCACACACCCAATGACCTAAAGACTTCCCATTAGGCCCCACCTTTTTTTTTTTTTGGCCCCACTTCTTAAAGGTTCCACTATGCCCCAGGTTGCTGTGCCCACCCTGGGAGCCAAGCCTTTAATGTACAGTATGTACCTTTGGGGGGACACTTAAGATGCAAACTACAGCAGGCCTAACCTTTCTCAGATGCCCAGAACATGCATTGCCAGATTTATATCCTCTAGGTAGGAAATTGGATATGTTCTCCCTGGAGAATAAGGCCAATCCAAGAGAAGAGTTGTTAAAATACCAACCTAAAGGCTTCCCAGTGAAATAGGTTATTTAGCTCACCTAGTAAACCTAGAACTTCAGCTCAGGAACAAGCCAAGAGAAAAGTCCATTGCAGACCTGGAGGTGGAAAGTCTCACACTCCATCACTCAGTCCAGAAGACATCTGATTAAATTGTTAATTCTACCCTCAGATGGACTGTTCCTGTTGAGAAACCTTTGGCCTAGTCATGGATCCCTGGCTCTATTAGTTTTGACCAGCTTTGCAGAACAGGTGTCTGTTGAGCACAAGTCTAACCCCAAGGGATCTTATTGCTCTTTAGCATTTTTTTCTTTTCAGTTAACATTTATTAACATCTTCAGTGATTATTACATCTTTTTCACTTGCTTAACCTCTCAACTCTACCTCGACCTCTCTTATTTTCAGTAAATTACCTTACTTCCTATAGTCTGTGAAACTGGAGGCTGTCTCCTGTGAATGTCTCTTCATATTTGAATCCCTCTTCTATTATTTTAAACCTATTGTCTTCTCTCCTGGACAATGAAGATATGTCATCCTTATTTTCAAAGCCTAATGAGTGTCCCCATCTTTTGATCCTGTTTCATCAAACTTCTAGACCCATTCCACCGAGATTTGTTTTGCATCTCCAATTCATTCCATTTGCCCAAATATGGACACTGTGATGTGCCACTCAGGTTCCCCTTCAGGACTGAAGGAATAATTCTCCTAAGTGCCAGAAATGCTGCTGGAAGGTGGTTCTCAGCAGAAGAATTCTCAGGAATTGCCTTAAAAGAAGAAAGTCACCTTACTAAAGGTAACACGCTTTTCTTTGCAGCACTCTTTGAATAAGTGGTTAACTTGAGGGACATAAAGACAGCCTGCTCGCCTTAACTAGGGACAGCTCTGAAGGGTCCTTCCAGCTTTGGATCTCCTTGCATGTTGACAGAGGTCTTCACTGAGACTCCATCACTGCCCAGCGTCTCTTGGCCCAACACATCTCCTCTCCTTACCACCCAGAAGTTGTTAAACCCTAGAGCACTCCCTAATTAACTTACTACATGCTAATCTCCTTCTCAGATCTGTATACCAGCATTCCCTTCCAATGATAGTATGTGTAGTATGGACATTTAATAATTTGTTAGGTCATATCAAGCTGTTCATTTTTTAAAAATTGTACACTTTCTGCTTTTTTTTTTCTTAAATTCTTTTATTGGTACATTTTAGGTATACAATGCATTTACATTTATCATTGGGTGCTTGTACCTGTATATGATGTATCTTGGTTCTTATTTTTTTCCCCATTTCCTGTGTGCCCTTCACCCCCTCCACCCTTCCCTATTTACATAGACTTCGTTTCCATTTTTTTTCTTTTCTCATCATTTTTCCTTTCCCTTCTTTCCTTCCCCTTCCCCTCCCACCACCCCTACCCCTTTGGACCTTTTCTTCCTATTTCAAACTGAAAATGATTTAAAAAATTGTACATTTTCATTCCCATCAATAATGTAGAAAAGTGCCTCTTTCCACATCCTAACTGCTTCTATAGGATATTATACTATATTATATTATAATTTCATAAGTCATAGTGTCTTATTCTTGCCTTACTTGTATTTTTTAATTACAAGTAAGAGTGAGAGTATTTTCAGGTATTTATTGGCTATTTATGTTTCATTCCTTTTCATCTGTTGTGTTGTCTATTTTTCTATTGTAGGAACTTCTTATATATTTATTTTTGAGTATTTTTTTGTATTGTAAGAAACTTAAAATAAGTTTTCCAGGTTGCTGGTTGTTCTTGTTTTATTTAAGACTTTATTTTGGCCATTCAAAAGTTCTACTTTCTAAAATTATTTAACATTATCATTATTTTCATAAGTCTCTTGTTTCTATCATGCTTGAATTGGCTTTCCCTGTGCTAAGATTTGCAAACTTTGCTGTTTTCTTTAAAACTTAGCTCAGATGCCCTTGATACCAAAAAGTGACTGACTTGTCTTTGTTTCCTGGGGACTTCATTTAGCGCCCAGGATTCTACACTCTCCCAGTTTTTCTCAGACCTTAGTGGATGCCTCTTTTTCCCTTGTACTGGTTCTTCCTCAGCTTCCTGAACTCTTCACAGTAGCACACCCCAAGGTGAACTCACCAGAATTCTCCTTTCTATCTATATTCATTTCTTGATGACCCCAGCCAGGCTTAGGGTTCCCTATTGCTCTGTGTGCTGACAAATTCCAAATTTTATTTCCTCCAGCCAGACTCCATTCACCTGTCTGCTCAACAGTTCACTTGGATGTCTAATGGACGTCTCATACCTAACTTTCCCAAACTGAACTTCTGATCTTCCCTCAGAATCTGCTCCCTTAGTCTCTTCATTTCTGTAAATGACAGCCCCATCCAGCTAGTTACTCAGAACCAAAAAGTCTGGTGCATCCTTCACACCTCTCCTTTTCTCACACCCACATCCCATCTGTCAGCAGCTCTACTTACTATAACTTCAAAATACAGTATTCCAAATCTGACCACTCCCACTGCTATCCTTGCTACCTCCCTGAGCAAGTTGCTTCATCCTAACATTCTCTCTTTCCTCATCATTCAACTGAGGTAATAATAGATTCTGATTTACAGGATTCATGAGTGCAGTAAAGGAAACATTTACATGAAAAGAACTTAGCATAGTGCCAAGAAAACAATGAGTGCACATTGAATATTAGCTTTCATGAGCATTTCTGGCCTTTGTTTTCTAGAAGCTTTCAAGATTGGACTAGTAAAATTGAAGCGATGAGATCTTTTTCACAAAAACTGAATTTTTTTCTTCAACTCATGAAGTGTCCATAAGATTTTAACTAAATGACTCTAAAAAATGAAATTGTATGTTGATGGTTTAGCTTCTGAAAAAAAAGGAAAGTGAAAATTAACCTTATCTAGTAAAATGGTCACAAATAAGAACTTGAAAAAAGGAATTAAAAAGCACAATGGCAATTTGAATCATTAGAATTCTGTAATCTGATTAACAGTGATTTCCAGCTAATCACAAAGCTTTGGCCCAGAAAATATTTTTAACCCAAGGTTATATCAGATTGTGTTGCACACTGGTTGCAATACCAGCTTCCCAACCTGAATAACTATGGAGATATGAGGAAACTCATTGGATGTTTCTATCTCAGCACCTAGGTTAATATCCATCACTTACATGAAGCAGCCTCATGTTATTGACCTTCAGTACCACTAAAACTTATCATCCCAACTAATTATTAATAAGTACAAGGATTCTAGAAAATTCTTAACAGCATAATCTTAGATGTCAGCAATATATAACAGGTCATATAATAAGTCTGAATTATATAGGAAGCATCTCAGTAGGTACACATAAATTAAACACATGGATACTGCTAATAAACTAGAATAAACCATTTCTCTACATAGAAAAATATTTTCAGGATATTTAACTTGTTCCTTAAAAAAGTCATTTTGCTATCATATATGATGAGAATAGTATTTGAATAGAAAAGAAAAACGTTCATATAATTTTATTTAATGTTTTAGGGAAATTATGTTCATTCCTTCAGTAATTCTGACTCTACCTCTTTGTCTCTGTATCTGTCTCTCTCTTTATATATATATGTATATATATGTACACACACACATATATACATAAAACATCTACCATGTGGGTGCTAGGTAATAAGAATATAATGGTGAGTTGTTTTTATTTCTTCTTTGTAAAAATAGTTTGATCCTTTTGAATATATGATCTAGGTAATCATAGACTTGGGAGTATTTTAAGTGAGAGGAAATAACCTTTATATGAAATTATCAGGAACTGACTGTAGTTAATTTGTTACTATGCTTTCTTTGTCCATGTTTGATCATACATACTTTGTGATATTTTCAGAATGATATATACAATGTAAAAATTTTATATATCACATTATGCAAAAGTTACTTATTAAATGTGAATTCGCACTAATACCTATTGTGGGATCATTTTAGATGATCCACATATACTCTGTATACTACTTTCTATTTGTTTGTTTGTTTTGCAGGAAGTCTTGGCTGAGCAAGGTTGGAAGTCCTAGTTCTCGCATTGACCGCACAAACTTTTCTAATGAAAAAACCATCTCTAAACTTGAATACTCTAATTTCAGTGTTCGATACTAATAGAAAAGAAATTAAAATTGTAATGCCTCCAATGCACAATAGATACCATATATTCTGAAGTCTATATTCTAGAATAGTAGTACCGAAGTAGGATTTAAAAAAGGGTACTTTCTGTTCTGAAAGCTACAGAATTATGTTGCTAAAAATGTTTATCACTGAAATAATTTTAGTAGACCTTTTTGAATAAGCAAAACAATTCTAAGTTTGAAAATGTCATTATGAATATTCAATATGAACATTCAATTTAAGCCTGTCTCATGAAATCTTTCATTTCAATGAACATTATAGCATACATATTATTTGGTTAGACATAGAAAATAAAGTGAACCATCCAAGTTATTTTAAAGTACTGTTTGTCTGGAGTGAATTCTAATGCTGTCTGAATAATAATTTGCTATTAAAATTGAGTTTAATGATTGAAGTCTTTAAAAGAACCAGTGGTTAAAATAAATATTTGTATGTGATCAGTATAATCATAAAATAATATCAATAAAGAGTTAATTTAAAAATTCTGTTTCAAGATAAACATGATCCAATCCTTTGTTGTCATTTAATATCGTCTTTGAATTGTATTATTCTGTAGTGCGTGGTCAGCTTGGTGATGGCAGCTGTAAGAGCACACAATTTTAGTACAGCAAGCAGCAAGATTTAGACTACCCTCATGGGTGGGAGAAAGGCTGTGCTTTCCCAAGGCCTGGACAACTGCACCCTTCTCCCCACTTTGTGTTAAAAAAGGGCAGATGAGCATCAAAGGAAAGAACTAGCAGATAGTGAAGTTGAGCAACAATACCCATTAATTTGACTTTGCTGGATGTGAGTTACCATTTTTATGACTTGTTTTTAAAAACAGTCTCACTATGTTGCCCATACTCATCTCAAACTCCTGGGTGTAAGTGATCCCCTTACTCAGCCTCCTGAGTAACTGAGAGTACAGATATATGCCACTGCATCAGCAATGACTGAATATTTTCAGCTTTGTCTAGTGAAGGAATTTTTCAAAGCATATATCTTTAAACTCATTATCAGAGACAATAGGAAAACCAGAATTCACTTTCCAAAAGGCTATAGGCCATAAATATGTTTATATAGTGACTCCCCCTGGTCTCTGTTGATACAGTGATCAAAAGATGTTCTCTCTTTAGTGAAAAGGAAGATCTTTTATATCTGGAACTAATTTCAGGAACTCAACACAGGCAGTCTGGTATAGGAGGCTTTGCTGGAGGAGTCAGAAGACTTGCACTCAGCCCAGCTCATCCACTAATTAGAAATGTACCTTGGTGTCCTTGACTGCAAAGTCAAGACATTAGGCTAAGTCAAGACTTTTTAGAAGATTCCATGAGCCAGAGGACTCCCGGGGTTGGGACCAGGTGAGTCACAGAAGATTAATGAGAAAGATGAGCAGTCTTATCTCGGCCCAGAGCCCTGATCCTCATTCCAATGAGAGCAGCTCAACACTCATTTCTTCATATGTTGAGATTGTCCATGAGACATATTTTAAGAAGATTTTTGGAACTGAAAATGTATCTCAGTGGCAGAGTACTTGCTCAGCATGAGTGATGCCCTGTGTTCAATCCCCAGCACCACAAAAAGAAGAATTCTGCCTCAAAGAAACACACAAAACAAAAATAATAGCAAAGATACTGAATCTGGGATCTTATATTCTAAATTTCTATAAATGCTACTCAAATGTATTTCCTATTCTCTTGACTATTTTTGTCAAATCAGTATGGCACATATACTTAATCTTAAGTGATTTCCATAGAAAATAGGCATAATTTGTGAAAAGACTGTTGGAAATAAATTCCTGTTCTTCATTGTAGCCTCCATAAAGGTTTATAGTTTCTTAAATATTTCCAGAATTGATTTTCCCTTGTCTTTTGTTTCTATTTTTATCTTACAACAGTGAAAAACATGCAAGAAGAAATACAAATATATATAATTGGTAATTCTACTAAAAGGTATAATAGATAATGTGAAATAGGAAGAGAACCAGGAATTTAGCTCAGTGGTGCCGCCACCTGCCTCGTAAGTGCAAGGTCCAGAGTTTGATCTCTGGTACCAAAAAAAAAAGTAGGAAGAAAAGGGGCAAAGGGGAAGGGGAAGTGGGAGAGGTAGGGGTAGGGGAAAGGAAAGAAGGGAATGGAATTATTATGAGAAAATGAAAAAATGGAAACAAAGTCTTTGTAAATAGGGAGGGATGGAGGGGTTGAAGGGAGGGCAGGGGAAGGGGAAAAAATAAGAACCGAGAGAGATTATGTTAAAGGTGCAGATTTCCAATGATGAATGTCATTATATTGTATACCTAAAATGTACCAATAAAATTAATTTTTAAAAAAAGAAGCAAAAGTGTTCTATATGCATATCTTGAAAATTTTAACCTAACGTGTAAGAGGTAAATTTCTCTTTCTTAAGTACTTCATGATTTTGATCTGATTAAAAATTTTAATTTTATGATTAAAAAGTCTAGTTATTATTTGATATCATAGGTTTTTCTATAGGAAGTGGGGTTACTTTTTCTTTTCTAGAGAGCCAGACTTAGTTTTCTTTTCTGATGGAAATATTGGTATACATTCTTGGTTGGATGCCAAAGATACATCTTTTACTCTCAACCTTACTTTTCTTTTATTAGTTTTACTTCCCTTTTGGTCTGATGAACTCTGCATGTAGCACTGGAAACAATATGACCTCTCTCTGTCTCCCTCTCTCATCTTCTACAAATACCATATTAGAAGATATAGATTAAGAACATGCAGGAGATTCATCATATTAGAAATGGAGTTACTATTTCAGACTAATTCTAAAAAGCAAGAATTGTGGTCATCTGGCATTTTTAAACATTAAGGTCCAATTTCTACCAAATTTGTGGCAGATTAATCTGGATTAAGAACATTCTTGGAGTGAATATGGATGCTTACCCCTGTAATTCCATCAAGAGGACAAGGTAGAAGGATCAAAATAGAGAGCAACTCAGACAACTTAGCCAGAATCTGTCTCAACATTAAATTTAAAAAAGCTGAGGATATAGGTAGTGCAGAGGCCCTGGGCTTAAGATCCAGTACCAGAAAAATAAATAAATAAATAAATAAATAAATAAATAAATAGCTAAATAAATAAGAATGCCTGCTATACTTAACCAGGAAATTTGAATAAAGTGAATAGATATTATATAGTGTTATTTTTGAGATTCAGTATCTATATCTACCAGAAAAAAAAATGAAGCAGAAATCTTTCTATGCCTCAGGAATGATTTTCTAGGGAGCAATAAAAGAATCAACCTTTCTCTCTTTCCTGATCCCAACTACAGTTCTTTCTATGTACTGGGATACCCTAACTCCGAAGTCACAGCATACAAGAAAAAGGACACCAGTAGTGGCATAGTGGGTAGTCCCTTAAACAAATGGAAGTGGCAACCAAGAAAAAGACCCTCTGTAGCAGAGCATAGAAAAATTGTGTTGAAGGATGCCAGCAGCAATAACAAAACTAAACAAAAGCAAGGGAGTGATTATCACAAAACAGGCAGAATAGTATATCCAAATTAAAGGAAATAGGTTGTGATCCAGAACAGGCTGAATTCCTAACTAGATGGTCACATTATATTTCTTCATAGGCATGATAGCTCATAAGACTTTATATTACAATTAAACTCTATGAAATAGTTTATATAATTTTTCATATGTATGATATATTCATAACTTTAAAAAATCTAATATACCTAGAAATCTCAACCAAACAACTACAAAATATGGGGTAGAGCAAAACAGCCATTCTAAGTCTATTTGAGAGGAATATACTTGTCTATTGGCAAAGACCAGTATATAGTCAAATTCTCCTCATTAAAAGATGAATAAACGGAGAAAAACCCAACCTTACAATTTAGAAAATGCATTATAGCCTAAGATAAAAGGTACATTATCCTTTACAACAGGGGAAATACATACCTTTAAAATTATTTATTATAGGAAGACAATAAAATTTCAGAAAATATCTGCTAATGTCCTCAATAGCATACAATGTAAGTTGATCCTCCCTGAAAAAGAGCAGGGAGAATTTGAAAAAAATATGTGCAAAATAAATGAAGAGAAAGCATAGATTAGCTAAGTGGATGCACATTGAGGCGATACTCTTAAGTGAAATAAATAGGACACGTGTAAATACCAAATAGTTTCTCTGGTGTGAAAAACTAAAAGTGTAAATAAGAATTAAAATGTATAATTGACATTGTGAAATAGGAAGAAAACATCTAAAGGAGTAGGGGAAGTTGGAAGGGTAGGGGAAAGGAAAGAAGGGAAAAGAAGAAATATGAGAACAGGAAGAACATGGAAACAAAGTCTTTGTAAATAGGGAAGGGTGGAGGGGGTGAAGGGAGGGCAGGGGAATGGGAAAAAAATAAGAACCAAGATACATCATGTAAAGGTACAAGATCCCAATGATGAATATAACTGTATTGTATACCTAAAATTACCAGTAAACTTAATGGGAAAAAAGAATTGTACATCAAGGAAGAAAATGAAAGCTTTCACCAACTAGGTACTTTAGGTATTAAGAATTGAAAACCCCTATAATCTCAGCTACTCAAGAGTCTGAGGCAGGAGCATAGAAATTTTGAGGCAGCCTGAGCATTTATTGAGACCCTGTCTCAAAATGAAAAATGAAAAGGTTTAGGGATAAACACTCTTGGGGTTACTCTCCAGTACTAAAAAAAAATAGTTCAAATGCTGGAGGCTGGTTTGTGTCTAAGTCTGCTACACATTTCATAGGATTGAAATGAAAAATATATTAATATATGCAAAGTATTAAAAACTTCACTATTTTAACCATTAAAAAAATCTCACCGTTATTAAAAGGTTGAAATGAACAGTTCAGCCTTTTTGTTGGAAGATTTAAGAGATTGCAACTGGACCAGTAGCAATTGGTGTTCTGATCCATATTCTTATTTATTGTGCACTCACTTGCTATCTGTGCTTTGTGCCTGAGCAAAGTGCGGTTCTCTGACCTGCACTGCTTCCCCTGTTTATCCAGTACGTTTTCTTTTCCAAATGTCATATTCTGAGCATGTAAATACACATTTTCAATCCAATCCGTTGCTTCATCTTTTATTTTTCTCCCTACTTCCCTCTCTTTTACTTTTTAGCATCATACTATTTTTTCTAGCAAATTTCCCTTCATAAATGTTACAGAAATATTTCCAGAAATACCTATGCTAACACTTATTTCCCTGTACTGGTATTTACCCAGACGTCATGCTTTATTAATGTTCTGATACTGCCTAGAGTTCAAGGGAATGAATCTAAAAGACATCAAGCAAACACTTGCTGTGCCTGTTTCTCACAAATCTTATCTTGGAGTGCACTCATAAAAACTCTCACATGTTTCCATTAAGATGGTCTACAAGAGAGCTCCGCAAATGGCTGATACTAATGAATCCAAAGATAGTTTTAAAGCCTCATGCAGTCAATCAAGGAGGAGGCAGCTGCCAAAACATCTGTCTCCACAGCTCTGAAGCACTTCCTGCAAGCAAAGAAGCTTGACTGAGTGGTGCCACAATGCCCAGTCTTACCCCTGTCATAATGCTGTCCGCAACTCTTCTTCCTTTCTTCCTTTTATATTAAGGAAAAGAAAAGAAACTATTTAGAATTTTTTTAAAAAGATGAGTAGTCTAGGTTCAAAAAATCTAAGAGGTCAAAATTCTATCAGCCATGGCATTTAAATAAAAAGTTCTTGGTACTAATATAGTTTTATGTATGGAAGAATTAGTTAGCAAATGCAGCATACACAGTTTGAACTCAATTTATGTAATATTTGTCAAGCTTCTCTCATTTAAAATATAATCCATGGGCTGTTTTATTGTTTGATGTAAAATGTTTTCAAAAGTTTGAAAAGTGATGCTAGCATGAGAATGATCCTACTGTTTTGAACAATCATTGTGGGGGACAATATAATATAACAGTCTTGAAGTACAAGACAGAGTCATTTGAAGATGAGATCCAAAGCTGGTCCAGTTGCTTATTAGCTTTGTGATTCTGGGAAGCTACTTGGTATCTTTCCAGGCATCAGATGCCCCATGGATTGTGCTAACTAAGATGATACATGTCAAATGTCAGTGCTGGCCCTCCCATGGAATAATTAATGAAAGTTCCATAAGTGCCAATTGTTACTACTGCAATTATTATTCTATATTTGTGATTTTTAAAAAGACAAATGCCAGCAAGAATGGGAAGAACAAACCAGAAATTCTTACTTTTATAGTGGCTATGATTCATCTCCTGTCATACAGCTGGTTGCTTCTCACAGTTACATATTGGAAGATACTTGAGTTTACAACGTTATTCTATAGGGCTCTGTCTCACTATACCCAAAACACAACTATCATATACGTATATTTTTTTGTCTGACGATCTACTCTCTTAGATTTTCAGAACAGCTATTAATAAAATTTCTTTTGTCCCTTGTTGGAAACATCATCACCATCATCATCACACCACCACTGTAGCTAACATATTTTGGGACACTTACTAAATATGAAATATAATTAAAGCATTTTGCCTGTATTCACTCATTTAAACTTAAAATATAGGCACTATTCTACTAGCATTAGATGAGGAAACGTAGGTCAGAGATACTTGCCTCCAATTAGATAATCTTTAATGAGAATTTAGATAATTTGACTACTATGAGATAGATTACTGTGTATATGTGGATTTTTAATTTTAATACAGGGATCATCCCAGAGGGATCACACTAATGTGGGAATTTCAGTCACATGGTAAAAGATATTTTAAGACACATGAAGGCTCTTAAAATGTACTACCTAAAGCCTGGAAGTTTCTGTTGTGCTATGAGTATCTTCTGCCCATGCCTAGTAGAAACACACTATAAACAAGACAGAAACTTAAAAGTAACCAATACTTCAAATTGTGATATGCACTATGAAGAATAAAAAGGACGAGTTACTGAAAGAGAAAATAATGGAGATTGGGGTGGAGGGGCAATATTTTGGCTTTTATTCCAAGAGAAAGGTATGTAAAACTTACTAGTAAGTCTTTAAAACTTATACAATAAGACCATACATTTTATTTTTTAAATGATAACAGTATTCTAACTTTCAGAAAAAAACATGTACTTAATACTTACATTTGATGAAAATTAATACTTTGTTCTATTTACTTCTGATTGCTTTTGTAAATAAAAATAAATGAAAGTGAGAAAGCGCAATTAAGGCACCTCTACCCATTCTCCTGCTCCTCTTCTTTCACTGTTCTGTAGTACCCCTTCCTATGTGTATTTTTACTTCCATAACATAGTGTTGTTCCATGTGTGTTTTAATTACACAAGTGCTATCAACTTCTGCTTTTCCCTTAACAGTATATACGTGTAAGTCTGGTTATTCATCCACTTGGATCCAACGATCATTATATCAAATACACTACAGTTAAACCACCCTATAGCAATGAACAATTTGTTTTTTAACTTTTCATGACATTACATCTTTGGTGATTGAACCATCTGGTACTCATGCTGTCATTATGAAACTCCCTGCTTCAGCCAACTCCTCAATAATGTGTATTGACAAACTTTAAAATGTGATGATCTGATGATACAATATATGTTAAATGGTGTCTTCTTTCAATTTTAGTTTCACTTATTTCCAACAGAGTTGTTCATACTTGAATTAGTATGTTTTTCTGTGTGTTATATGTTAATATTCAATACCTGTTTTTATTGCATTACCTTTTCCTTATTTTGATAGTTCTTTTTATATTAAACACTAATTCTTTGTCATTTAATGATTTACAAATATCTCCTACTCTGTAGTCTACCGTTTCATTTTCTTCATGTAATATTTGATATATATATGCTTTTAATGTGCTAAATATGTAACTTTTTATGCTTCATGTTACCCTAATATACATATATTTCTTGAATTTTTTCTGTAAGTTTTAATATTTTTACCTTTAGATCTTTACTTTGCTGGGATTTTATTTTCATATATAGTATGAATTAGTAATCTAATCTTATCTTTTTAAAACTTAAAAGCCATTTATTACAATAGTCTGTCCTTTCCCATCTTATTTGCAATGTCTCCTCTGTCTCATAACAAGTTGTCATTTAAATGTGGGTCTATTTTAAGCTATTTGTTCTATGTGCAGACTCAAGCTAATTTCATGAGTTTTACAAGTAACTACTTCAGCATTTTCAATATTGAGATCTGTTAGGGTAAGCGTAATCTCCACTTTCATTATTCTTGTTCAAATTTACATCTGTCTGGGACTGGGGATTTAGCTCAGCGGTTTCGCTGCCTGCTGTGCAAGCACAAGGACCTGAGTTTGATCCCCAGTACCAAAAAAAAAAAAAAAATTTACACCTGTCTTTATTTTTAGTCCTTGATTCCTTCATATGAACTTTAGAATAAGTTGGACCTACAAATATATGTTTAATATATTATCAAAAATTTAATTACAGAAAAACGTGGGGAATAGTGTGGCAAATCCTCAGCTTTAATTTTTAAATCTTATTCCATCTTTCTTTCAGCTAAATATTGAAAGAAAGTCTAAGATATCTATCACTTTCATACTTATCTCTAAGAAGTGAAAACTGGATCTGCATGCTGTAGATGGCATGACTAGGGATAGTCACAATGAAGTGCTGATACTTAAGCTGAAATATAAGGAGTCAGTCACCGGCAGACTGTTCCAGCCAGAATCATAGTGCAAGGTTTTTCATGTTCCAAGAACAGATGAAAGGTCTGTGTGCTTGTAGTCTGGAGATGGAGAGGTCAGGAGAGTGTAGGTTCAATAGTACAGGCCTGTTGAGGGTTTTAGAAGTCATAGTGATAAGTCCCATTGAAAGTGGTTGAAAAGTGGGAAGTGGTTGAGAATTGCAGCAGAAAGAAGAGTCTGAAGCTTCAACAAGAGATGAAGCAGGCAATGCAAGTGGAAGGCTTATGCCACAGAACAAAGGGGGATGATAATGATGCCAACTCAGTGGTAAAACAAAAATGGAGATGAAGGGTGGATTTGAGATACATTTATATGGAATATGACTGTGGGAGAAAGAGCAAATATGTAAGTAGACAGAAACAATTTTTAAGTACATCTCAGCAGACTGAATTAAAGAGTTAAATCTGTTATCAATTATTAAGGCTAAATGTGAGGTCTCTGTCCTGAATTTATTTATCTATTTATTTATTTTTAATTGTTTCACACTTTATTGAATGCAAAGCAAGAGTCAGCATCTTTGCCCTCGTTGTACACAGCTGAAGCAGGAGCCAGGGAGGGTAAGATGGCACTTTCCTTGTCAGGAAATGTTCATGTCCCAAAGTCCTGTCATGTTGTGGGAAAATTACCCCATGTTCTGTCGGTTCCCATAGCCCTTCGGATGAGTGTCCTTCCAGTCATCCCACTCCTGTGCTCTGTGGTGTGCCTTCTCATCTTCTTTCTCCTTTTCTTCATCTTCCTGTTGCTGAGCCACTCTTTTAAAATTAACTGATGTTGTCTTGGCTATTCCCTGGTCTGGTAATGCTCCATATTTCCGATGTTGCTCATACCAGTCACTCACTGTCATAGTTGCCAGACTTGGATAACCAGCTCCAAATACTTTGGTGTGGGCCTTGTCTCGAGTGAGTATGAAGGGCTTCATTGGAGGCCTCTCCTGAAGAGATGAGTGAGAAGTTGATGCCTCTCTCAAAGAGTCTCTTTCTCTCAGGATCTTTATTTCCTGGTCAATGCTCTCAATCTCTTCTAAACTGATTCCAATCCACCTCCGAAGGTCAAGGAGGTAAAATTCACGAACTTGCTCATCATCTGCTTGACCACTTTCCACTGCAGATTTCAGTGTAGACAACCTATGCTCCACTTCTTTCTTCTGCCTGTATCTCTCTGTTTTAGCCAGTCTTTGAGATGCCTTTGGAACGAGGTCAGCATAGGCCACCGAGGAACTAGCAGTGTTATTTTCAGCTGAGTTGCTCTTGGTTTGGGGCAGCTGAAACTCTGCCACATGATAATAATGGCACTGAGTTAAGTAGTTTATAAAATGTTCTCGAGCCTGCTGCAAATGATCTAGACGCTTGCTGGGGTTGACTTGTTTCATGGTGAGGGCTCCTTGAAACGCTGGCACCATCAGGTACCTCAGGTCCATGGAAGCAATTTCTTCTAAATCTTCATTTCGGCTGAACAAATTGAGCTGCGATAACATTTCAGCAGCCTTCTCAAGTAGGTCCAGTCCCTTGAACACTTTATCCTGTATTATCCCGGAGCCGGTGGGTTCATTCGCTACTTCTACTTCCTCCAGAAGCTGTTTGCTGGATTCGAACAGCTCAGGAAGTCTAGGCAGCTGTAAACCATCTTCAGACGCTGCCATCTTGGAGAGGGCCCGTCCTGAATTTAAAATAAACAAGAGCTAAATGAACTGTATTTATATAATGTTAGTGATCTGACTTAGCAATGCTTTCTTTCCCCTAGTTGATTCGAAGGATGGTGAAGGTGAAAGCAACTTGGATTTCCTCAAGAGTGTTATACAGTATCTGCATAAATAACCGCACAACATTCAATTAAACAGTGATGTCTCTGCCTAAGAAAACTATATATAAGCAAATGAAACTAGAAAGATACACAGTAGGAATGCATAATTACAGTAGGGCCCTATTTAAAACACAATTCAGTACTACATATATTTGAATATGATAACTAATCAGGATCTTGATATACCACAATAACACCCATCAAAGTCATAAATTATAGCATTAATTTATAAATTGATATTTATTCCACCAGTGTCCATGCCGTTATGAACTCCTCCCTAAATGTCTCTGTTTTGCTTTGGCTTTATAAAGTTTAGTTGTATTTTAAAAAGGCAAGTCTTTACAAAACTAAATGTCATTTATCATGTATTTAACAGTAATTGAAATAGCACCAGTCTAAGTACTAGAAAGACTACAGTTAAGCTCTGTAAATCTCCAGAAAAGATAAAGTATTTGCACAAACAACTATGATGTAAAACAGAATGCTGTAAATGTTGGGAAAGTGCTAAAGTGACTACAGGCTATGAGTTTCCACAGAAAACAGACTACAAAGGAGGCGCCGGGCGGCCATATTGCGGAGCTGTCTGCGGCGCCGGCGCCTCTCCCCTCCCGCGGTCCTGCGCCCTTACCAGCGACTCTCGCTCCCAGCCGCAGCCGCAGCCGCAGTCGCGCCGCCTGGCGCCGCCGCGCAGCGCTCCAGCCGCTCGGAGGGCAAGCCGGAGCCGCGGCTCTCGGAGGTGACAACAGGATTTATATACGTGAAGATTTTTTTAAAAGACTAACAAAAAGAGAAGGAAAAATGCCGAAACCAATCAATGTAAGAGTAACTACAATGGATGCTGAGATGGAATTTGCCATCCAGCCCAATACAACTGGGAAACAACTTTTTGACCAGGTGGTAAAAACAGTTGGTTTGCGTGAGGTCTGGTTTTTTGGGCTGCAGTATGTTGATAGCAAAGGTTATTCTACATGGCTTAAACTAAATAAAAAGGTGACACAGCAAGATGTTAAAAAAGAGAATCCCTTACAGTTCAAATTCAGACCTAAATTCTTTCCTGAAGATATTTCTGAAGAATTAATTCAAGAAATAACCCAAAGACTTTTCTTCTTGCAAGTTAAAGAAGCCATCTTAAATGATGAGATATATTGCCCACCAGAAACTGCAGTTCTTTTGGCTTCCTATGCTGTCCAAGCCAAGTATGGAGATTATAATAAAGAGATTCATAAACCAGGCTATCTGGCTAATGATAAACTACTACCCCAGCATGTTTTGGAACAACGCAAACTGACAAAAGAACAGTGGGAAGAAAGAATACAAAACTGGCATGAAGAACATAGGGGAATTCTAAGGGAAGATTCGATGATGGAATACTTGAAGACTGCACAAGATCTAGAAATGTATAATGTCATTTTGAAATAAAAAAAAGGGTACTGAATTGTGGCTAGGTGTTGATGCTTTGGGTCTGAATATTTATGAACATGATGACAAGTTAACACCTAAAATTGGCTTTCCTTGAAGTGAAATCAGAAATATTTCATTTAATGACAGAAAATTTGTTATAAAGCCAATAGACAAAAAGGCACCTGATTTTGTTTTTTATGCACCTCGTTTGAGAATCAGCGGATTTTGGCCTTATGTATGGAAACCATGAACTATACATGCAAAGGAGGAAGCCTGATACTATTGAAGTGCACTCAGGCTAGGGAGGAGAAACACCAGAAGCAGTTGGAAAGGGCACAGTTAGAGAATGAAAAGAAGAAAAGAGAAATAGCAGAAAAAGAAAAGGAAAGAA